TAAAACTAAATTAGCTACCGAAAAATAAATTTAGGACTTTTTGGACAATTATTCTTTCTTTCTCATCCCTTTCTAGTGTTAGCTAGGAATCGCTCGCGTTGTTCCTGAATCTTTTCTTTGTTGATTGCATAATGGAGTTGATTAAAAGTGAAGTGTCCGTATAATAACTTGTGATTGATATTTGATTATGCGATGTGTGTGATCGATTTGTCTTATATGCTTTAACTAAGAAACGAACGAACATACGACTGCTGCGTTCGATGATGCGCCCAATGGGGCTCGAGGGGGGCACGAGCCTAGTGAAGTTGGGGCAGCTGAAGGTGAAGAGGTGCTGGGGGATCGGCCTGAAGAATGTAGCCACTAGATGGCGAGGTGTGGGCTCATGATCTCAGTAGATGAAGGATTGGCGGTGTTTGATGGGTGCGAGGGAGGAGGAGCGAGTTTGGAGAACTAGGGGGAGAGGATGAAGAAAGGAGGAGGAAGAGGAGAACAAGGGACGACGGTGGCGGCGGAGGTGGCGATCCAACGAGTAAAGGGAGTAATACGATATATGTGATTTGCAGTAGTATAAAAGTGCCTTTGCCGAGGTCCAAGTTTGAAAATAGGAATGCTTCTCAAGCTTGATTCGATCCAATCTTGCTTCATTTCGGGCTCTGGTTGTTTCTCGGAAAACACACTTTAGGAAAAAGTTTTTCGGATTTTCCGACATTTGGTTCACATAAAATATATTAGTCAAGGAAAATATTTTCGGTCTATGGAAAAACACATTCAAATGTGGGGAAAATGATTTATTCTTTTCCTTCCTCTTTTTTTCACCTAGACCCAGCACATTCTCCTCCATGCACTCCTTCGCCTTCCTTTTTTCGCGTGTGCACTCCTTCTCTCTCTCCGGCTCTAGGATTTCCCTCCGCCTCTCCGACTCCAAATTTCCTCCTCCTCTTCGCCACCACCTACGACGGCTGTGTCGCCATTGCCTGAGAAACAGTTTGTGGCTACGGATGCTTTGACAGTGCCACGCTCTCTCTCTCTCTCTCCCTACCACCTCCGCCCGCCATGAAATCCATTGCCTCACCAATCTCTTCCCTGTATTACTCTTTGGAAAGCACAATTCTTTCCCTTCCCTTGCTCTTTGATCCTCTCTCTTTTCCACGATCCTAGGGTTTACCTCCGTTTGCTCAGATCTGTACCATCAACGTCCAGGTCAGTTTGGTTTGTCGTTCGGCTCCATTGTTGACTTCTTTGTCTCGCCGATCTGGAGTCTTGGGTTGTTATGATATAGTTTTGATCTCGTGGTGCGTTTTCCTCACCTTTTTTCGTTGGCCGTGTCAATTTTGGACAAAATGTGCGTAGGTTTGATAAATGTGATTCATGTCGCGGTTTTCCGGTCGAATAATGTAGCTTCAATTGCAGGTTCCTGAGCTGTGTGCTTGATGATGTGCCTCCAACTCAATGGGGCTCAAGGGGGGCACAAGCCTAGTGAAGTTGGGGCAGCTGAAGGTAAAGAGGTGCTTGGGGGATCGGCCTGGAGAATGTAGCCACTAGATGGCGAGGAGGTGTGGGCTCATGATCTCGGTAGACGAAGGATCGGTGGTGTTTGATGGCGGCGAGGGAGGAAAGGGAGGAGAACAAGGGGGAGAGGATGAAGAAAGGAGGAGGAAGAAGGGAACAAAGGACAATGGTGACGGCGGAGGTGGCGGTCCAATGAGCAAAGCGAGTAATGTGACATATGTGATCTGCAGTAGTAGAGAAGCGTCTCTGCTGAGGTCCAAGTTTGGGAATGGGAAAGCCTCTGAAGCTCGATCGAATCCAATCTTGTATAATTTTGTGTTCTGTTGGTTTCACAGAAAACACATTCTAGGAAGAAGTTTTTTAGATTTTCTAGCATTTGGTTCGCAGAAAATAAACTAGTCAATGAAAATATTTTCGGTCCATGGAAAAAACATATTCAAAAAGTGGGGAAAATAATTTCCTCTTTTCCTTCCTCTTTTTTTTTTCAGCTAGACCCAACACGTTCTCCTCTGTGCACTCCTTCACCTTCCTTTTTTCGCCTATGCACTCCTTATCTATCCTCGGCTCCAGAATTTCTCCTTCACCTCTCCGACTCTCCTCCTCTCTGCCACCACGATGGCTGCAGCGCCACTACCTAAGAAATGGCTTGCGGCTACAGATGCTCTGACAGCGCCACACACTCTCTCTCCCTGCCGCCTTTGCCCCCCGTGAAATCCATTTGCTTCACCAATCTGTTCCCCGTGTTACTCTTCGGAAAACACAATTCTTGCCTCTCCCTTGCTCTTCAATCCTCTCTCTTTTCCACGATCCTAGGGTTTACCTTCGTTCACTCATGTCTGTATCATTAACGTTGAGGTTAGTTTGGTTTGGCGTTCATCTCCATTGTTGACTTCTTTATATAATCGATTTGGACTCTTGGGTTGTTATGATATAGTTTTGACCTCGTGTGTGTTATTCTGACCTTTTTATTTTCCTAGAGCTGATTTTGGACAAAATGTGCGTAGGTTTAATAAATGTGATTAAGTCATAGTTTTCCCGGTCGAATAATGTAGCTTCAATTGCAGGATCTTGCAAGGTGGAGCCTTGCCGGCCTTGGGCAGGCTCGTCCCTCACTTGTGGCCGGCGAATGATTGAGGAAGAATGAAAAAATAAAAAAAAAATAATTAAAAATTCTAATTTTTTGGTAATTTGCTCTAGGAAATCAAATTAGATTTTTTGTACCAAACGACAGAAAATATTTTTCTATTTATTTTCAGGTTTTAGCCAAACACCGAAAAATATTTTTATTTTTCTAAAAAATGACTTTCTAAAAAATATTGTCTAAAAATGTCTCATTTTTCGTGAAACAAACTAAGTCTTAATTTCTCCTAATTTTCCCTGGTTGAAGTTTTTTTTTTGTCATTTTGACTAATTAGAAAGATGCTTTGTGTTCTCTGAAGCTGAGAAAATCAGATCTGGGAGGGGGCATTAATTCTTTTAATTTTGTCCTTTTTTCCATTTTTCTTTCTCCCTTTTTAAATTTTTTTATCTTCCTTGCTAAACTTTCAAGCTTTCTTTTTCTAATGTGACGTTGGTGAACGCCTCATGTCTTAAGAAAATAATAAAATATGTCACAACCAAATTAAACGAAATCGACACCTGAGTGGAAAAAATTGATTACACCGACTTGATAATTTTTAAAACCTAATCGTGCTATTTGAAAATTATGGGACTCGATTACACTTTCACGATAAAATTTATTGCTTCTAGTGTCCTTATTTCTTAAATGTTTATTAACACTCTAAATTTTTAATGAATATCCCAAAATACCCCTAAAGTGGTTTCTCAAAATTCCCCTTGACATGACTGACCAAGTAGGGGCTGTCCAATGGTAAGGGAATTGGGCGAGGTAGGGACGTTTACTTTTGCGCTCACAAAGAGATAGAGTAAAAATCTGAAAAAAAAAAACAAGAGAATTAAAGTAGGACGGACCAAAAGAAAAAAAAGTAGGGCGACTGAGGACCGATTAGTGCTACCATGGAATTGATCAAAGCGACTCATGATGGGTCACGGCAACACAAAATTGTGAGCTTTACCTTGATGTAAATCTTCTTCAACTGTTCAAACTCTAAACTGTGAAGACTGAAGCAGGTAATAACAGTGCACACTACTCAGTATCTATATTCAGGTCAGGTCCAGAACATCAACATGCTAATCAGCTCCCATGCGAATGGATGTACAAGTAATGGTAACCGAGATGAGAAGTAATCACCAATGAGGAATTAATGAGCCAAGGATCTGAAAAGTGTCGGCCACACTTACGTTTCAAGAGTTTAGACTACAAAAAGAACCAAACGATAACACAACGTGGCCACCTATGTAGTTTCAGGGTACCCCAAAATGTATAAAACATCGACTACTTGCGATGTCGAAACAGCATGAAGGCGGCTCGGGAAATTAAAGGAGATAGAGAACAAGTTTCTTCTCTCGATCTAAACTTTAAGTAAATAGTTCTTGTTGTCAATGGTGCTTCTTCATCATTAAAGCAGACGTGGAGGGTTAATGATGATCCTCTGTTACTGGCAGATCAACATGTTCAGAATATGTTTGAGCATCATCTCTCTATGTAGGTAGCAACAACATGAAACCCACGTCCCAGCCACACAACTGAAGACAACAAACATGAGAAGCCCAAAGAGATGGACTAAGCAGGAATCTTAAAGTTCAGAAGAAAATAAGTAATTCAAGCAACGGATAAAAAAGTGGAGGTTGCATCCTTGGAGCATGCATTGCAGAGTAAGAGCAAAGACTAACAATACAATAAGAGAAATGAATTCGCAAAGGCGAGTCACGAAATCTGAAGTTAACTTGTATCAATGCCTGATGCTTCCGTGAGAAGAAATACAGGTAAAAGTTGCAGATTAGTGATTCACTATAATACGTTCACGTGAGAGAAGTTCCACAGCTCATTGATATCTCCAGCAAAGCGTATTACCAGAAAGTCGAATTGTAAGCAATGGATAGTTCCATCTAGTCCTAGCACAGCTTAAAACATGAGAAAAATGTCATCTGAATTTAGCCAGCATGCAAGTGAATCAGATGGCAAAAAGGCTTCATGGCTTCACACACCAAAGTTGCAGGAAGGATATGTCATATGGGTAAAAGCCGAGGACAACTTGTGCCAAAGTAATATACTGTATTAATTTATCATTCAAATTTCCAGAGCAATCAAAAAGTAAATTTGGCTGTCGCAAGACAAAACGAGACGCACTCAGTTGATTATGCCAGAAAAGCTAAAATTTGATGAGGCTATGCTTACATTCCCTCCCAAGTCCCATACTAGCATATCCCAATCCTTGTAGGTATCTTGCTTAGTTGCACCTAAATGGGGGATAGACTAAGAATCTATCAACATCTGTTCTTATGTCCAAGCGACGAAAGAAGAACTGAAACCTTTTTCCTCTCAATATTGTCCTTAAACGAGCAAGAGAGAAAGTAGGAACTAACACATGTACCAACAGAATATGTAAGCCTATCAAGGACGTTCTCACTTGCAATTCCCCACAACAGTCCATGAGTAAAGCTAATAACAGACCAATTTGAAAGTGAAAATCACAGCAGGTAGCTTAAACAAGTCATCTTCAGTCTGCATAGCTCATGATAAAGCATATTCTGTGTCATGAAGCTGGTTCAGACATGTAATGTCTGTGCAGATGTGCATGATATTTCCTGGTCTCATGGATTTTGAACCTATGACAATTCCACTATTGCATCCAATATACAAATGAGAAGGCCAATGTACCACAAGAGATAACTAACAACTATAAGCCTAATATATTTGTACATCTCAAAGCAATGAGTGATTTCTACCTGACCGTCTTCTAGACACGTTTCTTCCATCACAGGGTGGCTCGACCATCGTCAACTCCGTTGCCAATTATGCAAGTCTCATTACGCGACAGAAGTTTTACATGCCTCACCAATTTCAATCTCCTAAGCCCCAAAATTTGAACCAAATGACCTATGGATAGTTACAGCCCGTAACTTCCATCATGCTGCAAACTCACATCATAAACATCTGAAACCGAATCCCTTGGCTTCTTCAAACCCTCAATTATTTCGCCAATCCTGCTACCACGAGCTCGACCGGAGTAACTCTCCCCTCTCTTCTTCTGATCAGTCCCAATTCTCCTATAATTCTCCGCATTCGACCCACCGTGGTCCCTCCTCCTATCACCTACCTTCCTCAGACCGACACCGACTTCCTTCTCGTTCTTCACTGCCACCACGCCACTCCGTTCCACAGAGCCTTGAAAACTCATATTCTTCCCATCCGAATCAACCGACTCAGAACCCGAATACCCCTCTTTCCCAATCACTCCCCTCTGGCGTACCCGGCGAAATTTCCTCCCCCTGTAACCGCCATTCCGTTGAGCTATCGCCTCGCCACCGCTATTCCTCGAACTGCCATCCAATTCGTCGTCCTCGCCACCACCGATTCTCCCATAAGGCATCACGCTGTGCACAACCCCTTTGGGAAAAAACCTGGCGGAAGGAAGCTCCGCCTCCGCCCTGCCGAACACCTGTGGCCCGTCCCTATCGGTCCACATGTCAAACCCTCCGGGCCGCTGGAACCGGTCGGCGAGCACCTTCAGCTGGTCGTCGGCGCTGACGGAGAACAGCCGCGTGGCCTTCTCGACGGCCTCCCACGGCCTCTCGAGCTCGGAGACGGCGGCCTTGAGCTCGGCCCGCTTGCGCATCTCGTAAATGTGGCGCTCGCGGCAGAGGCGGGCCTTGAGGAGCTGCTTGGCCTTCTTCTTCTGCATGCGCTTCCACTGCCACTTGGAGACGCCGCCCGGGAAGGTCCTCGGCCCTCCCCCCATCCGGATCGGCGTCATCGTTCTTGGGGTCTGCCGGAGGGAGAGGTGGGAGAGCCCGGTGCGGAGGAGGAAGAGCTGGGCATTCGGGGAACCCAGGGCTCTTGAGAAGGAGAGGGTTCGTGGAGGGGCTGGGACGAGGAGAGACATCTGCAGGGTCGACATCCCTTTCGTCTTCCTTGTTTTGCAGCTCGAGACGTGACCGGAGCGAGCAGCAGTCGCCGGGAAATATGGTAGTGGAGGCGGTGACCCTTTTGCTCTGGTGTTAGTGGTCGGACCGTGAGGGGAAGAAGATGATAACGGGGGGCTTTTGCGGTGGTGGGTCAGATGCGGGTTGCGTTCTTTTGCGCCATGGTCGGGTCCGATTGCTCTGGCTTGCGAGACGGCGAGATGAGATCGAACGAATGGTCCATGGATGATGATGGAAAGAGAGGCCTCCGCCAGCCACCATGAAAACCTGGAATGTAAAGATTGTTTCCAAGATTAACTCTTCTTTCCGGCCCAAACATGTCTGGCCTACTTACTTTGGTTTTTGGGCTTTCTAGGATTGTTAAATCCCCGATTATCTTTTTGAGCCTTCGTAAGGAAAAATAACATAAATAATCCATGAACTTTGATTCTACGTGTAATATCATTCATAAACTTTTAATTTGTTCAATGTTGTCCCTAAAATTTTGGTAAATGTTCAATCTAGTCCTTGGACAGTTGACTATATGTTTTTTGATAACTTGAATTAATGGAAGGACAACATTGAATATTTTCATATAGTTTAGGGATTAAATTGAACATTCACCAAAAGTTCAGGGATCACATTGAATAAATCAAAATTTCATGGGCGATATTGCAAATTGGAAGAAAGTTCATGGACTATATTAAATAAATTAAATGTCCAGAGACGACATTACACATTAGATCAAAGTTTAAAAACCATTTGTGTCATTGTCGCTAATAACAACCGGTATGACTTCACTGATTTGTCGATTTCCGGGGCGTCATCAACAACGTTACTTCTTAACCTTAATTTGATTATGATGATGCCACCAACTTGGATTTTCAATTCGATCGGACGCTCTCTCTTGCATCATGCACACTGCTATTCTCTCACAAAGTGACTATCTCCTTTAATCTGTAGAGGAACAGAGTCTTTTAGATACTAACATGACGAGAACAAATAGCCATAAACCAACTTTTACATAGTTTTCCCCGCCATTGAGGAAAAGAGCAAAGATAGGTGGATTGGTAAGATGAATAATCCAATCTTTTCCCAAAGAGATCTTTTCTAATTTAAAAACATTTTCTGTTATATGAGAAATCGAAAAATAAAATGAATCTCGAGAAAAAAGATGCAACGATAGAAAAGTCTCTCTCTCTCTTTTTGATTGTGTCGCGACCTCTCTCAATTGTTTCGTCGTTTTTTCTTCACAGATTGGAAAAAGCTCTATAACCATATTTTGATCTTGCGGGATTTTCGCCGGAGTAAACTATAGGATTCAATTGTTATCAATTGCTTATTTGTGCTTTCCTTTGAGCTCTTTACGTTAATTATTCTGAATTGTTCAAACGCCAGCCACATTATTCACTTTCAAAATCATATTATCCTCAACATTTCAAATTTGGGTATCCTTTCAAAAACTACCATCTCATGTGATTTTATTGTCATGGCTCGCTTACTCAGCAAAAGTTAGACACAATTGCCAAAGTAGTTTGCTTACTCAACCGAATTTATGCCATCTCCATTTTAATGTTAAGTGATGTGGTTGGAGAGAGAGTGTTGACTTGGATGGTCTTAGCCATTCAATAAGTTTTTGTTGACACGGCATCATCTCAAGAGACCATATAAGGCACTAATTTGGACCGTTGTTGGCTATTTAATGGTGTTAGCATTCATTTTGGCATTTTCCTTCTATAATTTTAACAGAGGTCTTACATTGAACAAATTGAAAAGTCAAGATATTTGATTGAAAAAAAGAAGTTTTTAAGTACTCGACTAAGAAAAGTGTAAAAGTTCATATACTTGTCATCACCCCAAAGATAAGCATGTTGAACTCTACTGTGCTTCTAACAATAGTAAAAGATGCTTGGCAGTTGGTAAGGCCTGAGGGTGCCTGAATTCAATGGCATAGGCTGGTCTGGTTTGGGCCAAATGTGCTTAAGTTTGCAGCAGCTGTGGGGATGTTGCAGACTTGAGATAGGATGAAGAGGTGGGCTAATACTGATAGAACTTAGAACTTGTGTGTGGTATGCTTCCTCAATGTCAAGAATGCATTTATTCTTTGACAGCCTTTTCTGTAAGAAAGTTCGGAGCCAGATGCTGCATCTGTTTAATATTAACAGAGCTGTTGGACTTTCGAATGTAGAGCTTAAGTGGGTTTTATGGAGTTTAGAAGATAAATCAATCAGGAGTGTGATCCTGAAATTAGCTTGGAATGGAGCTCTGTACTTTTTATGGAAGGAAAGGGGTGATGTTATTCACAATAGTGTTGTTCCTTAAACCAATAGACTCTCAGTAGGGTGAAGTATGCTGTTAAAATTAAAGTTGCTCTTTGGCTTTTTTGGTCTGCAATATGGTTCTCTTTCATTAAGATAAAGAATGAGCATACACAAATGTTGATTTAGCCCAAAGGATTTGAGGGGGATATAAGTTCTAGTTAGAAAGAAGGCTTTTCTTACGTTGGGCCTTGGCAACCCAGTCTGTCACTTTATTTGCTTCTCGGTTACAATCGATTGGTTTTTCCGAATAGAAGCTAAGTTGTTTTGGGGCTTCCTTGATGAGCAAACTCACTTCCCAAGAAGCATCTTCTTCACTGGATAAGCCATTTATCATACCAAACTTATCCGAATTCAGTTCAAAACAAGCACTTGAGTGTGATCAGAAGAATTTTAGGATTTCCAGTAGAGCAAGGGCCTCGGTTTGAGCTTCAGACGATGCCATGGCAGTTCGCACAAATCCATCCACGAGAAGACCAGAGCTATCGTGACACACACATGCTGTGGCTCCTTCTTTAGTTCCTTCCATGTAAACTCCATCAATGTTTAATTTCAAGACGCCCGGTTTTGGTGGTTCCAAACTCGATGCGAAGCCTATCTGAGCTCGGTTCTTTTCTTACATCTAGCTGTCCAGCAAGCAATACTATCATACAAGGTCGAAGCAGCTTCTAGTAGTTTCCTCGAGTCTGAGACTTGCGCTCAAAACACAAAATTGTTTCTTTCCTTCCAAATAACCAGAGAACAATAAAGAGAAATTCAAGAGACACATAGGTTGTCAACAGTTAATCAACCATTCCTCAATTCTAGATAAACCCAAATTTGATATGCTGATATTTAGGGCCGGGTGAGACCATAACTTCGACGTCCAAGGGCAAAGGAAAAAGAACATGCTCGATTGTCTCGGGGCATCATCGACAGCGTTACTCTTATCTTGGTTTGATTTTGATGCCACCAACTTGAATTTCAATTCCACGGACACTCTCTCTCGCATCACGCATACTACTATTCTCCCACAAAGTACTGCCTCCTTTTATCTGGAAAGTAAGATTCTTTTAGATACTAACTTGACGACAGCAAATAGTTATAAACCAACTTTACATAGTTTTCCCCGTCAAGAATTGATTGAGGAAAATGTGTAGAGATAGGTGGTTTGGCAAGATGAATAATCCAATCTTATTTGTAAATAAAGAATAAGGATAGGACCCTTTTGCTTTTTCCAAAAGAGATCTTTTTTATTTTAAAAAAGATTGTCCATTACATGAGAAATCGAAAAATAAAAAGGATCTAAAAAAAAATGCAACAAAAGAAGGCGGAAGAAGTAAAATAGCAGTGCCAAAAATTGTGTACGGCACTCAGTTTAGTGCCAAAAGTTTCTTTCAAATCACTTAAGTGTCATATTTAAAAAAAAAACGATCATTTAAGTGTCAACTCTGATTTCGATCGCCGAAATTCTGACATGGCCATATTTTATTAATTTCTCAGTCATACATGGCTCGCCGGTGGCCCAGTCAGCATGTAACCCCTAAAAACGATGTCTTGTAGATGGTTTGTCCCAAAATAAGAACCCTAAATTGCAAAATTGATCCAAATTCTCAAATTGAAACCTAATCATCATTTTACCGAGAATCGAAACCCTAATTTGAGTTGCTCCCAAATTAATAGCTGAATCTTGCAAATAGAGAGCGGGAGCTTCACGAGCGGCTCAAATTCATTCTAACAAAGTGAAGAAGAAGCTAAACATTATCGTTTTTTTTTAATTTCTAAATTGCAGGAACATCTAAACAGGAATGCTTCCGAGCTCAAACTCGAACTACCCATCCCTGGCGTCGTTACGAAACTTCCACATGGAAGCACTAATTTGAGTTTGGATGAATCCATTATGCGATTAACGAGCGAGCCTTTAATTACCAAATCTGGGCAAAGGAGATGGGTTAATGAGGAATAAGGTGTTTTTTTTTTTTTTTTGATAACCCAGGAACCTCCCGCACGGCCGACAGCCGGAGGGGTAAACCTGGGGTGACGCTAGCGCAGGACCCACACCACGGCGCCACACTTAAGAAATGAGGAATAAGGTGTTGTGTTCTTCCTAGATCTAGAAGAGGAGCTGAAGGCAGAGGAAAGGAGGAGCTGAAACCCAGATCTGTAATATTTCAGTGATACTCAAAGTCTGGAGTTTCACGAGCAGGAGCTTCACGAGCGGCTCACGATGGCGAGCGACCACGATGACTGGGCGAGCGACGGCGGCGGCGACCGAGCGAGCAACAACGAGTGATGGTGAGTGAGCGATGAGGAGTTCCCGGAACGACGAAGACTGAATCCATCCCATGTGACGTCGTTTTTCCCAGACTGGTAAGGCATCGTTTTGCTTGAGCAAGCCACGCAGGATTGTGCGACTTTGTTTTGGGCTTCCAAGTGGGCTAGAATCTTAAAAAAAAATATGCCAAGTCAGATAAAAATTTTATTTATAAAGGCCACGTCTACTGTACTTCTCCCAAATAAGACTTTTGACCGCTTTCTTTCTCTCACAAATGGATAAGATTAACAATAGTCTCTCTCTCCTTCCCTCCTTCTCTCCAAACATGAGTTTCATTGGCGAGTTACAATTATAGGCATCGCCCCTCCTTAATTTTGGTTAAATTTACATATGTATATTTTATAATTTGTAATTCACCAATTTAATAAAGGATTGGAGAGAGTTTTCTCGAATCAGAGATGGCAAAAGTATTGCCCTTGAATGAGTGCTTTCTTTCTTTCTTTCTTTCTGTATTTATACTTTTGAAACAATTTAAAAAAAAAACTAACTTATTTTATGCAGTGTGGAACTATATTCACAGCCATTTAGACTATGAAACTTATTATCTTAATTAACTGACCAAATTACCCTTCTCTCTTGAATTTATTGTTTCCTATTTAATCATGCTGACCAAAAATATATACTAATCTTTTTTCTACGTCCTCTATCATCTGGTGCCCGACCATTCGATTGCCGACTCGTCGAGTGGCCCAGTAAGTGGCTTGGGCACTCGGCCAGTGGCCTAGCCAGCCACCTAGCCTAAGTGCCCGGCCAGGTGACCCCTTGTCCCGGACACCTAATAGATTTTCTAGTTACCGTCTTCATCTTCTGCTCCCACAGTTTCGCATCCGGCCCTATGCCAACACTCCGATTGTCCTCAAAAACCTTGAAATTCACGTTGTTCATTCCGAGTCGATGGAGTATATACCTCGAGCCACAAGTAATAGGCCAAATTTAGCATCCAATTATAGTTTTTATCACTTCGTATATCAAAATTTATTAATCAATTCTAGTATGTTTAATATTTATGGGAAAAATCCACTGCACTCTTTGCTCCATATGGATTAAGGCCTTGCCGTGCTGGCTGGAAGCTGTCTCTGTCAGGGGATTCAGGGCACGTGCGAGCGGCCAACCATGGAGGTTGACCACCACCCCGCCCATGAGCTGGCACCTTCAGGATCTCCAGCACACCCTTCATTTTTTATATTATTGTTAAACATGACTTAGCGAACCTTATAATCACTCACCTTACTATCGTATATTATTCTCCGCAGCAGATGGCAGCTCCTAACATTATTCGTAGAGAGATGGAGACAGCGACTGACGTTCAACTCATTAATCAAATCATATCTTTTGCGTTGGTCTGGTCACTTCAAGCTGCCACAGAACCTCCATTGTTTCCCACATAAAGGGCATCTCCTGCCTCTCTGTTTGCTTGTAAGAATGGTTTATTCTATGCGAAAATGGTGTCGCAGAAGCTTTGGAGAATTAAAAAACCTGCACGGTTTCTCTAGCTTTCCTGGCTCTCTTCACCAGGAAGGTGGGCCGCAGATTCCAGTGTGAAAAATATAATGGGGGTTGATTACAAATAAGAGAAATAATAATGGGTTTCATAGTCTATTTGGACCTAGAGTGGAAGATCATATAGGGGTTAATACATATATGTAGGGACAAATTATTCCTGGTTTCGAATATGCTTGTTCCTTGTATCTTGTGCTGGTTCCATCGGAAATGGGACATGCTGAGATATGTATTCACTTAGTTCGACAATCGTTGGAAAAGTTTATGATGGGGTGGACACTGGTGTCGCTCTTTGCTAATGTTATTTCGAACAAAAGATGGCACCTATAGCTACTCTTCAGGATGACATGTGTTCCGCAGACAAATCATACATAGTTTAGCCGAGTGTTGATTAGCATAGGGTCAGCCTAATGTGCCCGGAAAATCTTACAATGTAGGAAGAGGCGACTGAGATGGACAAGAAGATAAACTTACGTTTCAGTTATGAAGAGATTGATGTAAGAAAAGAGAGAGGACAAAGCTATGCTTTCTTCGATGGAAAGAGGAACCATATCATAGTCTTAACCTAGCTTGACAAAATTTGAATTGGGTTCTCATGAAGATATATATGGAATATGAAGCTTCAGAAGTAGTACAGATAACCCAGCAATCTAATATTCCAAATAAACCGTTACATATAAATGGACAGGATCTCTGCTGCATCCATATCACATCAACCTTCACCGATGCCACTAGCGTGCCGATGCTGTGTCATTGTTGATGCCCCCACCCCCTCCCGCCCCACGACACAAACATCTCTCTCTATCTCACACACACACACACACACACACTAATCGACTATGATTGTATACATCGGTTTTAATCTTGTTATCGTCCCTCCAAATTGTCGTTGTGCATTATTCACCTCTCTGTTTCTAATGTATTTATCTTCCCTAAGGAGAATTTCACGCACCAACTGTAAGGGTAAATGTGACCAAGTAAAAGCCAGATTGCATGCTATAAAAGATAATCAGTTTTAAATTAGGTGATAACAAAACACGGCCCAATGCACATGGTGCCACTAATTATTTTCTTCTACGGACGTTAATGATTTGGTCAGGACCACCTATGGACAAAAGACAGACTCCTAACCATCCTATGCCCCCCACAAAAATTGCAAGGCCTACATGATTTTTGTCCTCCTTATGCCCACCAATGCACCAAACCAATCGATACGATTAGGGAACGGTAATCTCTTCATAATGGCATATCACATACTCTGAGCAAGAACTAGCCACATCATATCTTCCGCTAATCAACCTTTAGAAGCGCAATTATTTGTCCCGCCAAAGATTAATTAGGTACGGGTTGAGCTATAACAAGGAGAAGGAACGCTATTGCAGGCTCCAAATCCATTGCCCACTCAAGAGGCCCGTGGCAGGCGCCGCCCGAATTTGTCCAGCTGACCAGCATGGAGCTTTTCGGGAAAGAGAGAAGAAAGGGGATTGATTATTGATCAACCTGACCTTTATGTTGTTAACATCGATGCTACTGACTGAGATGGACACCCCACACTGTTTGGTAGACATTGATTTCACATTTCGAAGTTTGGCATGTCCTTTCTTGAAGATAGAGGCAAAATTCAGGATTTTTATTTTCGAAATTCTTCATAGAGTAAACGTCCTAAATGAACAAAATCATGAGAAGTTTATCTTTATTCCATGGGAAAATGTCAAAATAATCATGAGACGACCCACTTGTTTTACATGTCAAGCCTCCAAAAGGAATGCTAACTTATGAATAGTTCATTAGGACCCGTCCCAATTCATGTGGTACATAAAGATATCATAAACTCATCAACTTAAAGAACCGATATCCTCGTCCTCATCCTCGCCAGCATCAGCTTGTACCATTTATGTGTGATCAGGCACATTCATGTCTCTTCCGACATCATAAAAGTCTATTAGGAGCCGCATTTTATTCTAGCCTTGTGATGCTTGCTCTGATACTATCTATACGACAAGTAGTCTCATTCCATGAAATCCCAACCCTCAAATGAGGGTTGTTGTTGACTTATGAAACACTTTAGAGAGTCATTTCTAACAACTGATATGAGACTTGAGATGTCACGTAACAATTTCAAAAGGTTTAGGATTTAATGAAATCAAAGTAAAGTGCAAGGACAATAACAAAGTCTAACGATATCGGTATATGATCCCTTTGCCATTAGCCCATATCTCACCCTAACTTCGCCCTAAAAAATGTTATTGCCTCGCTTATCTCATAAAAAGTCGACTAAATCTCGTTCATGCATGATTTAAAAGAACATATGTTATCTATTGTGCGTACATATTCATTAAAGATGAAAAAAAGAAGCATGTATATTACTCTACACGCGGATTGTGAGAGCAATTTTTTCTAAAAAGTGGAAAAAAAGAAGAGAGAAAAGAGAAAAGACAGTTGATATCTATATTTGCAAAAGACATGTAAAAACTCGAAAGATAACTCCTCAACTTCGAAATGTTACCAATTACTAAAACAAAACTCTTTTTTCGTGTAATTATCTCTTTACACATAGAATTTATTTAAATAATTAATCAGACATAGTGAGATCTAATTTGCAGATCTGAAGAACAAGAGGTGAAGAAAGTGGACAGAGTTTGACGTCAAAACGAAGGCTCCATTTGTTTCATAGAAAATAATTTCCAGAAAAAAGTTTTCTGGATTTTCTGGCATTTGGTTCAAAGAAAATAAATAAGTCAAGGAAAATATTTTCCGTCAATAGAAGAAACACATTTAAAAGTGACGAAAATGATTTCCTCTGAAAAACGTTTTCCCTCCTCTCTTTTTCACCCAGACCAAGCACGTTCTCCTCCATGCACTCTTTTTAATAATTTTTTGTTTTTGTTTTTTTAAATTGATTTTTTAAAAATAAAATTAAAAATAAAAATTATTAAAATGGGTACACGGCGGGAAATCAAATCAAATTTTCCATACCAAATGGCGGATAATATTTTCTAGTTCAATTTTAGGTTTCAGCCAAATACCGGAAAATATTATCATTTTCCTGAAAAATGATTTCATGAAAAATAATTTTTAGAAATGTTACATTTTTTTGCGAAACAAACGGAGCCGAAGTGAAGGTTGCGAAATTAAGTGCTATTCAAGTGGTAAGTGAATTTGCAACTTCCTATCACCTTCTCTGATCTCAAATGTACGTTAAACAAAAGCTTGAATGGAATCATCAATGGCTTCCATTTTCTTAATTTAATCTCTTGTCCAACCTAAATGTAATGCTACTTTACCAATAAACATAATAGAGATCTTGTCCCCCCCTGCTTGAATTCTTAGTTGTATCCCCAATTAATTTATACCCTACACGTGTATCTCCCTCAATTTCTCCCATTCCACAGACAACCCCATTAAAACAAAAATTAAAATAATCACTAAACAGGTCATGTAGTGTCTCAAAGAGGAGGAAAGTTCCATCATACCACAAAATTGGGCAATCTCCTTCTATAATGCAACGCTGCCTGAGGACTATTTATAAGGATCCAAACTCTAGCCAAATCTATCAATCTCCACTACAACAGCATCAGCCAAAAAAGAAAAAGCATCACTCATCAGAAAGAGTAATGGCAAGATCTCTCCTTCTCTTCTTCATTCTGGCTGATGCTTTTGTGGTTTTCGCAACGGCAGATTTGAAATCAGACTCTCCCGGTTCTTCTTCAACTCCAGCTGTCCATGGCGCAACGTTAACCACGGCCCAAGAGATGATGAATCGGAAGTTCGGGAGACATCAAATGGGACTGGAGATGGCCTTCAGAGGGCCGAATTTGAGCCCGTCTCAAGCCCCTGCTTGGAGCAACGCGAGCTCTTCTGATCTGTCACCGCCTTCATTGGTTGAGCAAGAGCTCCATTTGGCAAAACAGCATCACTCATCAGGGGATAAGTCTGTGGCTGGTGGAGGGGTCATACTCGGCGGCCTCGCCACGACGTTCTTGGTGGCGGTGTTCTGCTACATAAGAGCGACGGGAAGACATAAATCAGAGGCTGCTAGTAATGCGGGTGAAAATGCCTAGATTTGCTTCCTCTGGATCTTATTTTGCACGTAAAATGCATATAGTTGGAGAGAATACAAGCCACCTTGTTGATTAATCTGTAAAGTGTTGATTAAATAGATATTTATTCCTTCACAAAGGGATTGTACCATACATGAAAGTTTCTCTCTCTCTCTCTCTCTCTCTCTCTCTCTCTCTCTCTCTCTCTCTCTCTCTCTCTCTCTGAAGCGTCTCGTGAAACAATGAATCAAAGCTCCTCTGAACTTAGTGATGAAAATATGGTTACTGTCTGTTTTGCATACACCAAGCCTCCAAAGAAAGTACTCAAGCGATAATATAAGATGGTAATGATTTGGAAATGGATTTTACGTATAAATTGTTCGAGAAAGCCTCTCCTACGTGTGTAAGAGTTAATAGATCACAAACTCCCGTCCAAAAAACAAAGTACTTGCGTCCTCATCTGCATCGGCTCATTTAGCCTACCAATATTCCCCCAATATGAAGGGCAATTCAGTCCGTTCCCGTCCCTTTACCATCCTAAAAATCTGTTAGGAGTCGCATCTTGTCCTAACTCTCACCCCCTATAAACACTCTCCTCTCTCATCTGATTGGCTTGGGCCTAAACTGTCCCCTATTTGTTGAAACAGAGTCATGCCATGATATTATCTGTGATGGTCTGGCTAGTTTCATGTGAGCCAAGCTCCAAGAGCCTTAAAAGGAGCTATTGACACCCAAATTTTGGCTATCATATTTAATTTTTTTTTCGCATGAGAAAATTAGGGGTTGGTCCGACCCCTAAACAAAAATAACATAATTCGCATTCACATTTCATTTAAGTCAAGCATTACATGCACATGATCTTCCTACATTATTTACATTAAATTAGTGCCCAAGGGATCTTCCCTCGTCAATAGCACCAACACACTGCAGACTAGCGAGTACATAATCTTCGATTAGCGCCAAATGAGATTTGCTGGGTATGGTTTGAAAATAGATGAGTTCGATCTTTAAAGGAAAATTGGGATTGTCGAGGTTCGAAGCGGTGATATTTGAACTCTCATTGCTGGGATTAAAGTGGATAGAGCTTATAACCAAGTGGAGATTTTTCAATAAAAGCTTAAGGAGGTGAATAGCCACAAGGAAGAGTTTAAAAAGGAATATTTGATGGACACGTATCCAACTTCAGAGATATCCACACTCACCAGCTCCATCTCATGATTTCTCTATCACTCCCATATATCCATTCAAATGGCTTCAGTTTGCGTCATCATCCCATTACGATCTTAGATATTATTGATAGTCTCTACGATGGGTTTTTGATTTTGTTGCATCCGATGTTGGTCCTTATCTGTAAAAGATCTCCAAACGCCTATATATACAGGACCTCTCTATCTCCCGTTGAAGGGAGGAAGAAAATTGGAGAGGCCACATTAGAGAGGGCAGCCACACACGTCCAGAGAGAACAGAAAATCGTGCGTTGTGTGATTGGTGAAATTTGTTCATCGAAAAAGGTGAAGCCACACCACTGTGATTTCGTTGTGCTAGTGCCCACGAACTCCAGTCTTCACGCTCAGCCACCACTTGTGCGCCTACGTCCATCCATGAGCTCTTAAATCAGTCCAAGGCGTGCCCTTCCGAGCAGACTGGTTCGTTGGCTCCTGTCTAGTTAGTTTGGGCCCAAAGAAGGATCAACGCAAGATATGTTCAATTTCGGCGTGAAATGAAGGAATCACTAGCTCGAATCACTTCGTCGATAGTCATTTTTAAAAGAAGGATCGTGATCATAAAGTTGCACATTCACTTAGTGACTGATCTAGTATTGAGAAGGAGAAAACTGCGATGCCTCTAGTTTCTAAATGGCGAAAAACGTATTGAAAACTATGGATGCAGAGATATATAGTTCAAATTTTGTTAGTAGGGGGTCGAATTTGGGCGGTGACCGTGAATTTAGTCCCTTTTTTGGGCAGTGACCATGAATTTAGTCCCTTTTTTCTACAATGTGACTGATGTTAGAAAGTCCAATCAAAAAGCTTAAACTATTATGTGGAGAGAGACCACATGAATATAAAGACCATTTAGGACCCATTGTCAATGGATGTGGGATAATTTTTCAATACCCCCACTTACCTGCAAGCCAGATTACGAGCAACATTTTTACCACGTTCGCGAAAGGGATAGTATTGGCTCCAAATTACGAGCAACATTTTTACCACGCACATTCGCAAAAAGGATAGAATTGCATCTGATACCATGTTAGAAAGTCCAACCCAAAAGCTTAAGCTACTAGGTAGAGGGAGACCACATGAATATAAAGAGCATTTAGGACCCGTTGTCAATCGATGTGGGATAATTCTTCAACAATTGACAGCCATCAAAGCCATAATTTCATGTGTAAACAATTCGAGTTACTTTTATGCTCATTTGGCACTCATTTCGAGCCAAATTAGTATCATTTGTCATTTTCTACCATATTAATAATATCCTGGCATCAATTAAATTGAGAATTTAATTAGAATGGTTGAGTGAAGGATTTGGATGACAAAATCGTGAAAGTCAGAGGAGTTCAGAATAATAATCAAAGGACCAAATTGTATAGATCCAGAAAGTTAGAGGGCTTGATTGATAAACGCAAATTAGAGGACCAAATAGCATTAATATTGAATGTTAGAGGACTAGAATTATACTTTACCCATTTGGAAACTATAAAGAGAAGTTGATAATTTTATAAAAATATTGGTAAGTTATCAACAGATTATCTAGATAAAAAGTCCCCAGTCTTTTTTTTATTAAAAAGCTTTTGACACTTACTAGTACTTTACTGAAATTTACCACTACGAAGAAAAGTTGTGCTTTTGTCGCACGAAACGATAGAATTCTGCCTATACTATATACAATGATCTGCCCCTTTAATTAAATTGAAGAAAGACTGCATACCTGACATAATAACTATGATGATCTAAGATATCCCTTCACTATGATACTCATTTTCTTGGAAATTGTAGTGGAAGTCTTACCTTCTTCATAGGAGATCGCCTAAATTTTAGCTTATTAACATATAATATAGAGAGATCCAAATTCACTCGAAAATCTAAACCCTTAGATATATTAATTGATTCCTTATGGTTAGGTCATGCCTAGTCTTGGCAGAGCCTTGATAGATGATGTACACCAAAATCATTCATCTTTTCAATGGATTGCAAAATGCTTTGCCTGAACCCAAAAAAGAAGTAAAAAAGATTTATCGATTGCTCGTTTACCCTTCACTTACGCATGACATGATTACGAGGATGAAATTCGAGGTGGCACCCAGTCAAAAATCCCAGCTAACTCACTCGAAAATCGATCCAACCGGACTCGAATTGACTATAAATAGTAAGCAATTTGTCATAAGTAATGCTTTGACAATAAAATAAAATAAAAAAAGGAGAGAGAGAGAAAGAAATTCGTGATGTTATTTGCACCTTGCAAACATCTAGTGTTACTCTAGTCTCATGGCGACAAACTCGATGCCCCCCTTCTAATGTCGAAAACCTAATAAATTCATCATTGTACGCCAAACTGAGATTTTGAGAGAAGGGGAAAGTAAAATCATCAGAGAAGGTCGCAATACTTTGGAACTTCGAAATTATTCTGGAATTGCTGTAGCTTCAAGTTGTTTGCTCCCTTTTTCTTTCGCTCCAAAATCGCACCTCTTACTTAGCTATGAGCGCAGACTCACGTGTTACTTTTTAAACGAATCTGACTGGACTTATACTTTGCCGCGTAAGATGATGATATGTTATTATGATATCATTGAATATTTTCTTCTTCCCTACGCTCCTCCGTGACGAAATAGTGGGAAAATTTCATTTTGGTATCCAAAGTGAGGCCTTTTTCTCAATTTAGTACCCAAAGTGGACATAGTCCCAAATTGGTACCCAAAGTGCCCATTCAATCTCAATTTGGTACCCAAAGTGCCCATTCAGTCTCAATTTGGTACCTGAGTTCACCGGCCGGTCAAATGCTCACCGGCCGGCAAGAAATTTATTGTTCAAGAATCGGAACAGATTTTTTACTTTTTTTTTTTTTTTCCTTTTTCTTTTTTTTTTTTCTTTTCCTTTTCTTTGTTTTTTCTTCTTCCCTCCGCCGGCCATGGCTGTTGCCGGCGGAGGGAAGAAGGGAAAAAAAAAAGAAAAGGAAAAGGAAAAGAAAAAAAACAGAAAAAGGAAAAAAGAAAAAAAATAAAAAAGTAAAAAAATACTGTTCTAGGCTGTCTTAACAAGAATTTCTTACCGGCCGATGAGCATTTGAGTACCAAATTGAGACTGAATGGGCACTTTGGGTACCAAATTGAGACTGAATGGGCACTTTGGGTACCAATTTGGGACTATGTCCACTTTGAGTACCAAATTGAGAAAAAGGCCCTACTTTGGGTACCAAAATAAAATTTTCCCCGAAATAGTAATTGACACTACGGACCGTGGGCCCCAACACTTTGAGCTTTCCTTTACCAGCCTTTCGTGTGGGTATATATGCCATTTCACTCTTCTCCCCTTTTACATTTTCCCAAATTTGTCTTTAGGCCTAGCTGAACGTGGGCCTTTTTGGTGGGCTCCCAAAAAAGTATGGATCAAGAATTAGGCGTACAAAGGAGTTTACAAATTACTTAAACTTGACGATTAGGATCTAAATTGAATTTGACGAGTTTCAGCGCATAACGCAGTTGAGATTTTCTTTTTTGTTTTAATTTGTTTTCGAGCGTAGTTTTATCTCCATATTACCAAGTTGTGACGGACGTAACTTTTGCCATGGTTCGACATGTTCGAGATTGGATTGGCCAATCGTGACGGTTCCAACATAAAGAGAGAAAAGTAGAGACAATTAGGCCACGGCCTTAGAATCTCGAGATGTGGCATGACCGGACACCCGACACGCACACGATTGCCAATTAGCAAACGTGCAATCGCGGTTGGTATGTGCCTAATCGGCTAAAGTCATACTAAAATATGAGAATAGTTATTTCCTTTCAATATATGAAAAAAAGCCTCTCAATCTTTTGATTTTTAAACACGAGACATTAACGAATTGTGCTTTGATATAATATGTACAAGACGGTAACCTTGTGATGTATATGAGAAAGTAAGATCAATCGTAATATGTTTCATTATTAGT